CCATCTATGTCAAGCGCGTCATACTAAAGAGTGTAAACAGAGATAACCCCTCTCAAATGTCTATTCCTACTCAAAACACAAGCTCTTGCTGCAGTTAACAAATAAGATTTATTATATAAGACCACGTAGTCCTACGTCACCATTGCGTACAACCCCATAGGGCTGTCACTAGAAGTTTTTTAGCCCATTGTATAACCCCCACTTACGGTAGTGGCTTTTAATTTTTTTAATAGAGGAGAAATCAATTGCAGCGATATTTTTAATGCAACGCTTTTAACACGTTGCATTAAAAATATTGCTGCAATTGATCTGGTGTTGCCAGTATTCCATATTTTCCAGATTTTCAGTCGTCTTGCCAGATACACAGACAGATCACGTATCTATTGTGCGTCTTAAGAATTTCATACGGCTCGAATTATGAACGACACATATGAATTTCATAAGCGCAACTTATGAAAGATTTTCGTCTACCATGAGGTAGCTCTTATACGCCATTAGCCATTCCATTCACCCAAGCGTTGACAGATGAGTGGTCCAGACACAGGACCCGTAATCTCAACGTTCATGGATCGGTTTCTGTCTGCTCCGTTTAGTTATTTTTTGTAGACATTATTTTTTATAAGGCAATTCTATGAAATTCACAATGATTTCTTGTGGCTAAAATTCATAAGTGGTTCTTATGGAATTCTTAAGTTTATTTGCCACAGTGTACAGAAAAGAAGTAAGGAAAGTCCTTGTTGTGCCCGTTCGCTATAGACTGAGCGAATCAGAGGTGTAACGTGCACGGAGACGAAAAACTACCCAAAATTAAGTACTTTTCCTTCAATTCACGGGTTCAGCCCAATAACCCAAATTTGAGTAATTCGCATAAAGTAGTTTTCATTTAACACCAGCAAAAAAAAAATACTTCTCCTATGTATATTCTACCCAAAAATTAAGTTTAATTCACGCAAATTTGAACATAAATTTTGGGTAGTATTTATTATCCGTGCGGAGATTTGAATTTTATACGAAGTACCGCACATAACGGACAGTATGAAATTTTGTATAGCTTTTGTTGACTGCGTCTGAAAAAAGGACTGGCAGAAGCGCTGACTGTGTGAATATACAGCTCCTGGCTGTATTTTGATTAAATTCATCATCGATGCTTTGAAGCCTGTTAGAACATAGTAAGAGTTGGTATAATTGTTCAATAAAACTTCATTCGTTACTTGCACTTCAACTTGAGTAGACGTTTCTATCAGGTTATGGGCCCAGGGAAGTTTCCATACTTACGGCCGTTGTTACCGGCCGAAAGAAATTTTTTTTCTCGGTGTCACCAAAGAAGCGAAGCTATGGGAAGAACTCGGTGTTCCGGAGATAACTTGGAGCCTTCTGGAAACCAGACTGCAAACCTAGTGACACTTCAAGTCAGAATGCGCCAGTGGTGAGCGATGAGAGGATTCCAAGAGGCAGTATTTCGCTTCCAGTGGTGCAGAAACTCTAAGGATGGGAGAACTACGTGACCTGGACCTTTGCGATGCGGATGGTGATGATCCGCGAGAGAACCTGGCGCGCAGTAGATTCCCCGGAAGGTGTTCAAGTCGACCAAGATTTGTCGGATAGGGCGTTGGCAACATATCGGCCTTAGTATTGAACCGTACAACTACAGCCTTGTCCAGCGGGCCAAGACTGCGAAGGAGGCCTGGAACAGTCTGAAAACGGCATTTCAAGACTGCGGACGATATCAGAAGATAAGCTTACTGAGGAAGTTGACCAGGCTCGAGCTGGAAGATTGTTCGTCCGTCGAGGAGTACGTTGACGAAATCATGTCCACGAGCCACAAGCTGGAGAAATTGGTTTCGTGTTGGATGATGAATGGTTGTCCTGCTCATGGGCCTCCAAAAGAACTACGAGCCCATGATTATGGGACTGGATGCCTCAGGTATCAAGCTCACGGTGGATATGGTGAAATCGAAAATTCTCCAAGACGTCGCCATGGATACCAATGTCAAGTCAAGCGGTGTTGCCGGAGCGCTAGCCACTCGTGAAAGGAAGTTCCAGAAGAAGATGGATAAGTCCGGTGTAAAATGTTTCGAATGCGACAAACTTGAGCACTACGCGTCCGAGTGCCAGGTGAAGCTGAAGTCGAAGCCCGAGAAAGGAAAGCAAACGGCTTTGATGGCGTGCATGAAATCGAAGCTGCCAGCCGAATGACACACACTTACTTCCTGCAATCCAAAGCTGAGGCATTTGATGCGTTCGTGGAATTTAAAGCGTATATCTAGAAGCAGACAGGCAAATCTATCAAGCGTTTGCGGACCGACAACGATACCGAGTATGTTGGAAATATATTCGAGCAGATCTTGAAAGTATGCGGCATCCGTCACGAGACCTTGGTTGCCTACAATCCGCAACAAAACGGACTAGCGGCAAGGATGAACCGGACGATCGAAGAACGCACCAGATGTTTGCTCTTCGATGCTTGAACAAGCGGTTTTGGGCTGAAGCAACCTCAACGGCGGTATTTTTGATTGACAGATTGCCAACAAAAAGTAAGAAAATCACACCAATTGAAGAATTCACTGGAACAATGCCAGACGTTTCAAATCTACGAGTTTTCGAATCGAGGGCGATGGCGTATGTCCCAAAAGTTAATCGGAAGAAAAGGGATCCGAAGTCGAGGCCGTGTTCCAAAGGATACCAAGTGTACGACCCAACAACGAGGCAAGTATTCGTGAATCGTGATGTGATCATCCTGAGCGAAGAGAGGGAGCACCCGGAGCGGACCGGGGAACCAGAGAAGGCAGATGAAGAGAAAGACGTTGAAAGGATGCCATCTCGAGTGTTGGCCTCCGACAATGATGAAGAAGACGATTCCTATAAAGTTGCATTACAACAGTTCAGTGCGCTCCCTCCGCAATCAACTCGTAACGTTTCTCAACCAACCACGAGGCACAGCGCGAGGGAGTGCAAAGTACAACGCAAGTATTCTGACTTTAAGGTGACGTACAGGATCCTTCCTCGGAATCTTGCTATTCCACAGGACCATCATGGCCAAGTAAGGCCAGCGACGTTCATCACTGCACTCCCGTTACACGAAAAGGAAGAATATGTTGAACCGCAACACGATTCTGGGAATAGTGACTGGGAGCGCCCAATCAGAGGCATGTGGAGTAATAATTTAAATAGAAATGGTATGTTTCCGTCATCCTCTACTTCACAGATTGCTAGCGATGCCGAAACGCTTCAGAAGGCATTGGAACGACCGGACCGCGATGACTGGATCGGCGCAATGGAGGCCGAGCATCGGTCGTTGCGCGCTAACGACACATGGGACCTTATCGATCTACCGGCGAGACAGAGAGCACTCAAAAAAAGTGGGTGTATGCGCTGAAGATAGGTCCGAATGGCTCCATCGATCGACATAACTGGTGATTAAAGGGTATTCCCAAGTCAAAGGCGAGTATTACGACGTAACGTATTCTCCGGTGGTACGGTATGCAACCGTGCGCTACCTCTTGGCAATGGCGGCCAAATACGATCTGCTGGTGTGCCAAATGGATGCGGTGACTGTATTCTTGCAGTGTGAACTTCATTGAGAGGAGATCTACATGGAACAACCGGAAGGGTTCCGGGACACGCGGGCTCCGGCGAAGGTGTGCCGACTCAAGGAGGCCCTGTACGGGTTGAAGCAGGCGAATCGTATCTGGAACCAGAAGGTGGATCGGAAACTCAAGGCGAATGGGTTTCAGCGATCTAACTATGACTCCTGCGTGTACCTCCGGCTAGGCAACGGAAAGGTGATCATCATTTCTGTCTATGTGGACGACTTTCTACTGTTTTCCAACGATAAAGCCCTGGTGGACGAAATCAAGCTACACATATATTCAGAGTTCCAAATGAAGAACCTGGGGGACGCCAAGCACATCTTGGGACTGCGAGTCAACCGATCCGATGGCATGGTAGCCATAGACCAAGAGCATTACATTGACAAACTTCTGCAGCGGAATGGAAATGGAAGGAGGGATCCAACTCCGTATCGACACCCCTGGACGTAAACCAAAAGTTGACGAAAGTGATGCAACCCGAATCAGTGGAAGAGAAAGAGAAGATGAGAAGCACTCCGTTCAAGGAACTCGTCGGTGGTTTGCAGTTTGTGGCGCAGTAAACTCGGCCAGATATCAGCCACGCAGTGAGTGTCGTGAGCAGCTTCAGCCATGAACCTAGAGCAGCCAAACGAATTCTACGGTACCTAAAAGGAACAAAGGACTACAAGCTGGTATATCGGGCCAACTGCGAGCAGAACTTTCAAGGATACACCGATGCGGATTGGGTGAACGACGTAGAAACTCGGCGTTCCATTAACGGCCACGTGTTCCTGCAAAGTGGAGGTGTTATTTCTTGGAGCTCCAAGAGGCAGCCCACCGTAGCACTTCCCACCACCGAGGCTGAATATATGGCAGTCTCTTCTGCCACCCAGGAAGCGGCATGGTGGAGGGGATTCCTGTAAGAGTTTCACGGTGTCGAAATTTCCGTCCCGATCAACTACGATAACAAGAGCGCAATAAGTCTGGCACAGAAGGATGTCGGCTACTCTTCAAGAAGCAAGAATATAGCCATAAGGCATCATTATGTATGAGATCAGTTAGATTGTAAAGCTATAACATTGAGTTATGTCCCATCTAACCTTCTGGCAGCAGATATGTTCACGAAAGCACTAGCGAACACAAAGCTGTTTGAAGATAGAAAAATGTTAGGAATTCAGGATTTCCCGCTCAAAGCCTGGTACGCAGCTGAAAAGTAATGACGTTTATACGTGCTACGGGATAGCACACGGAATGCTAAAAAAATTGCTGAATGCTCTCATCGAAGATATTGGTTCTGGAACTCTTTCAGATTGCTTTACGAGTGCAAGAAAACCGTGCAAAGTCAATAGTTAATCATTCAAAAATATAAACGAAACACGAACATTGATCAAAACCAAAAACAAATGTGACAATTGAAACAGAAATATTTACCAGATTCGACACAAACTTCCTTTGGATCAACTGGCGTGTTTTGGGATCTGAAAGAAGAAAAAAATTGTAACCATTAATTGAACCAGTAATTTAGATTTAAGTTCGAAAACAATTAAACAAGGACACTTACTGTACTCCTCCAGTATGAAAACGCCTCCCTTTTGGGTAAAACATTTCCGTATGTGCTCCAAACGTATGAAAAACTGTTCAAGGGACGATTTTTTTTTAAACAAATGAATCGCAGTTGGCGAGCGAAAGGAAACGAAGCAATGGAAAAAAATATTTCAATTAGCTGGAATTTAAACATAATGCTTTTCATTCAATTCAATGCTCAGTAACGAAAATGCGGTTTGTGTGTTAGTTGGTTGCTTGTATTCGTGTGTAACAGGGATCTGTGAGTTGGATTTGCTTTCCGTGTGTTCCATTTTTTTTTGTTTTTGGTTAAGCTTAATTTTATTTCAAGATTGAAAGTGCTCTACAATTTCATGTAGCATGTTTAGGAAAATATCTTTACAAGCTATACAATCGGGAAAGATAGGATGTTACATTTGTACATGTCTAAACCTTGCAAATGTGACATCTGTCATTGTAGTAGAGATGATTTCTGTATCATTTTAAATTTGCCAGATCAAAGTATGTCATGTCGCATCAAATCTGACATTTTTTTCTACTAACAAAATCTACGTCGCTACTTACAAAGCACAAGCAAAAGGCGGCACCTAGTGGACAAGTGTACTAACCAGATCGTCAAAAACAAAGCAGCTACGAAACGTAAACAAACACATGGTAGGTAATGCAACGGAAATGATAGCACCAATTAAAGAAAAATTAAAGCCATTCCTTTTCAATCATAAATAAATCAAGCAATATACGCTTAAAGCTAGATGAAAGCTCAGTGTTTTCCTTTCCGAAGTTAGGGGAGGTTTCAGTCTCTTCTCTACGAAAGTTATGCATCGCATTCGACAAAAAGTGTAAGTGTGCAGAGTTGCTTTAGTAAGTCGGAGTTCTCCCTAAGTGTGTTTTATGCATGAACTCCGTTTGTTTCCGTTTATAATTTACGAAAATTTAATCATTACAATCACGAATAATGTGTTCTATTTTCTGTCATTGTTGATCGAAAATTAGCAATACAAAACAATTACTTGTGAGATGGTCTCTAAACGAAAATAGAAACTCAAAATCGATCTTAGGCTTATTATTTTCAGAGAAGGGATGAAGTAGTATAAGAAAGAATAGATTTTAAGGGTGAAACTCTCCTACGGTTGAAGAATAATAAATAAATTGAGGACAATACCGAAGATTAGCCAGTTATTCGCTAGAGGGCTACAAGGGATCAAAAAAAAATTAAAATCAAATAAATATTCGAGTTTTTAAGGAACAAAAACAAGGGTTGTGTCAAACGGGTAACATTAAGAGTGCGCGCTTGTTTACATTTCGGTGATAAGCAGTATTTTCTTTCATGAATCGTTTTATTTTGACAACGCTCTCTAGTGGATCGCAAAGAAATCTATCATGCGCTAGAATAAAGGTGATAGAAACTACGTCGAAAGAATTGAAACGAAACACTACAAATGTTTCAGAAGGTCGTGAAAGCATCGAAAGCAATGGACACTTTCTTTTCAGTCAATTGTGTAAGTATCTACAGGGGAGGGGAGCTTCGTGATTTCGCTTCTAGTTTATCTATCTAAGAATAATCTTATATGATGAAAAATCACTAACTTCAAACACAAGAGGCGCTCTATTTATTTTACCTAAACATAACAAATTAATAAAACAAACAGTTTATAGTGAAGATTGCACCACTACAGAGAAAAACCATGATGAAATTTGCACTTTGCTTCTTCTCGTTCTTTGTTTTTTTTTTGTACAGAATCAACTGAAAAATCAAACATCTAGCTTTAGGTACTGGAGAGGGTTGTAAAGAGATAGAACCAAACGCAAGAAGTGGAAACTCTACGAAAACAATAGAAAATATACTGCTAAATTCAACTACAAACAACTACTATTCATCTGTTTGAAAACTAAAGTACCAAATCATAGAGTTGCACAGTGTGTTTGTTCGCTGAGAAACAATTTCTACCATTGGGTTTGTTTTAGCAAAAATATCACGAAACAAAACAGTCTAGAAGATAAAGAACCACTTGAGAGTTTATGCTTCAAATGAAAAAATAAACGAAAACTGCGAAAACCATTTCGCTTGTTTTGATACCGAAATGAAGTTTCTCATATGAACAATACAAAACAATAAATTAAAAAGCTTTAGTTTTGATACATACAAATTTTGCAACAACCATTACGCTAAAGATATAGATTATTTTCAACGTTTAATTGCATCAGGTTTACAGGTTTTTATAGTGTGAATGTGTGGTGTAGTTTTAAAGTTACAGATTTTATGACTTAAAAATAAGTAAGTGAAATTGAATTCAACTGTACCTCAAAGTCCTTTTTTTTTTCATCCGCAATATAAGCAAAATTTTCAAATTTGGGTTTCGTTTGGATCAAGCGAATCGGTTTGCGTTCGTATTTTTTTGTTTGACGTTTGTTTTGGGTTCATATTTCGCATGTTTTGAAACGGCCACAAGTTTGACGTTGGGGTTTCAGTTTCGCGACAACGGATGGTTATTTGTTTTCAATTTGTTTGTTTGACAGTGAACAGATGGAATAAAAAGAGAAAAAGAAAAAATGAAAACTAGATTAGTTTCTTTCCGGCTTGACTTCTTGATTAGCTCTAGCACTGAGTAGGCTATGCATTGCATTTTGGCATCGGCTAGATACAACAGGAAACGATGAAATGAAGATAGATCAAAGAGATAGCATACTAGAGTTTTTTTTTTCAATGAGTAAGGAAAAACGTCAACACAAAAGTGGAAACGGAACCAAAAGTCGAAAGCATAACTCAAACAAATAACACTCAAGGACCATCTCAAAAGTTTATTTTCATAGTGAATCACTGTTTTTCTGGCAACGCTGCCTTCGATGAGGCACTTAAATCTGTTTGTTTATATCATATCGTGAATATGATTTTAATATTATGTAAGATAGAATGAAATATTTCAATTTTGTTATCGTTAACGAAAGCAAATCAAAACTTGATAAATTTTCTTAACAAACACATAATAAAAAACAAAATGTAATTTTAACAAAAAACAAAACTCAGGAAAACGGTGGCAGCCCAATTAAATTAATGGTGCCACCACTCACGTTTAACGAAATGAGGGCAATTTTAATGAAATACTTGATTATTTGTACCCTAGATTGATGGATGCTTCATTCTGCTGGGAGCAATTCCTTGGCTTTTGATTTTTTTTGAAAATTTTATTTTTAAAGTAAACCAAAAGTATACCTTTTTTCGATGTCCACGGAATAAAACATCGACTAATCTAGATATAAAGATGTGTAACAGTGAAGGAAACAACTGATAGATAAAGATATGAATGTATATAGACGATAAATTTGAAGACAGAAAAATAAACATTGAGACTTTTTACACGTTTTGGTTTATTGCGCTCAGTAATAAACCAGAACTGATTTCCGATGGTCAGACATGCATAATGGTGGAAATATAGCGCTATATTAATTTCTGGTAAGAATACGCCCCACGACTATAGTCAGATTCAACTATGTTTTCTAAAAAAAAAAAGATTTTAATAATATTATAATGAAGCTGGAGCGATAAATTGGTCCCCTGTTGAAATTATTCATCTATATTCTCTATTCCGTCCGAAACGGATTACCCATACAAAAAAATAAATTTGTATGCGAAATTCGTTTCGAACGAAATGCAGTGGATGCATTTCAGAGCAGCTGACTGAGCTGTGGTTTGGAAGCGACAATTTTGCGGGAATAAGGTATTTACTCCGTTTCTATTCATTTTAAGGGGTTAGTGTCTTCGTAGAAGTTGTTCATAAATAAATGTGACTTCTTTCCATAAAATATATGATTCGTTGCCGTTGCAGTGTTTGATATCACAGTTACCACCTCGCAATTGGGCACTCATCGTTGATCACCGTTCAACAGCCGAACAGCAGCATCGCCACCGCTATCTACCGGAATATACGACGATCTGGACCGAAACGATTTCGAGTGTATTTCGAGCTATACATTAGGAAATACCTAATACCATGCCGGAGACGTCCGTCGCGTCTGCCGATTCGTTTGTTTATATTTAATAGTTCAAATCAATAAAGTTATTGAGTTTAAATTTTAGTTACAATAAAACGGCTTTAGGTATATGTGAAACGTGTGCTAAGTGCTCATAATCCGGAGAACTGCTTCTTTCTGCATGTGACGAAAGTCTGCCTTCGATGGATTTACACCCAGTGAGACGTACATATCGCAGTTGGAATTGGAAGGAAGTAGAAAAAACAAACCGCGGTTCACTTTCTCCCTGGCTATTAAACATTGGTCCTTCGAGCCGGATTGGGTGTCGATAGGATCCACCCAGACCAGAACGCTACGTACCATCACGGAACGGCTGTATGGCGGATGCGCCATTATTAGCTGTAATTTGATGATTTTCAATGCCTCACATGTGCTAGTCCGTAGTGATAGTGTTCGCGCCAAGGGGTAATCAACTCTGCGCACTTGTCCCAACTATTTTTGCGAACAAATACCGCCACGTCCCCACCAAGAAGAGATTTTTCACAGATGGGTCGGTGATAAATGCTTCCACTGGTTTTGGTGTATTCCACGATCTTCATAGCGCCTCATACAAGCTTCAAAAGCTGTGTTCGGTATACGTTGCTGAACTAGCAGCTATATCGTACACGTTAGAGCGTATTGCCTCACTTCCACCTGACCATTATTTCATTTTTACGGATAGCCTAAGCTCCCTAGAGGCTATGCGTTCAATGAGGCCGATAAAGCACTCCTCGCATGTCATCACCTTGGTATGGGTCCCTTCTCATTGCTCTATCCCGGGCAATGAGAAAGCGGACTCGCTGGCCAAGGTGGGCGCTATGGAAGGCGATATTTACGAGCGACAAATCGCCTACCACGATTTTTTCACGATTTCTCGTCAGCAAGTCCTCGCCAACTGGCAACAAAAGTGGAATGATGGTGATCTGGGAAGATGGCTACATTCTATTGTCCCACAGGTGTCGATCAAACCCTGGTTCAATTTATTCGTGTAATGTCCAGGCTCTTGTCCAATCACTGTTTGTTAAACGCCCACCTCTTCCGTATTACGCAACTTGTTTACCTA